AATTTTGACTGTTTATATTTCATAAAATTCAGGAACTTGCCAAGCAGAGAAGGAAAAAAAATCCTCTAATCTCATTGTTGAGCTGCTCCAGGTTGGCTTCTGAAAAAAGACAAAAATAATATATGCAGACAGAAAATCCCTGTAAGTGCCAAAAGGCGTAGAAGGAATAAAGAACCTTTTATCATCACCTCCTACACTGCCTTAGGCAAACCCAAGGGGGCGCTGGCTCTCAGGGCTATACATTTCTCAGTGGTGCTGATGCTGGTGCAGCTGCTGAGGGGACCCCAGGTTCAGAACCATGGATAGAACGGTGCTTCTTTAAAATGCCACCCCCACAGCTACCACCACTGCCCCTTCCTAAATTAAGTCCTTTGTAGTCCTCATCCCATGCTTTTCTTCATACCACACATCTCAATTTCAATTATAAATTTACTTGTGTTTAGTGATGATCTTGGAGTTTAGATTAGACCTGAATGGACATTCTTGTCCCCCTGTCATCCATTACTGGGTAAAGCAATAACCATGACTAATAAATGGACACAGATAGGTGGTCTATCTCACCTCTAGGAGGAATAGAGTAATATTGGTTGAATGCAAGTAGCTTCATTGTTCAAAGTCTCTTACAGAGAGACTTTCAGGATAAAGCCCAGCAGAGGCCGCCATTAATTGAACACCAGCTATGTGCCGGGCAACATATGTGGGCAGGATCTATGGATGTTTTGTTTGTTTCTGTATTCCCAGTGCCTGAACTATAAGCAATAAATAATTTACTGAGTGAAAACACAGTCAGTCTCCCATGTCCACTAATTCTCTATCCTCAGATGTGAACAACTGTGATTTCAAAATATTCAGAAAAAGAAACATCTGTACTGAAGATGTTGACATTATTTCACTTTCCATTCCCTGAGCAATGCAGTACAGCAATGCTTCACATAGACTGACACTGGAATAGGCATTATAAATAATCTGTAGAGGATTTGGAGAATATACAGGGATGTGTGTAGGTCCCATGCAAATCCCACACCTTTTTATACAAGGGACTTAAGCATTAATACAAAAGGCTCTTGAGCATGGAATGTGAGAGACTTGAACACAAGGTACCTGAACATTGGTAAATAAGGGGCTTGGGCATTGGTACATAAGGGGCTTTCCCATTCTTATATAGAGCATCATTGCAAGAAGGACTTGGACATCCCTATGGTATGGATTGAGCACTGATACACAAAGGATCTAAACTTATTACATGATTGATTTGAGCACTGGTACATACGGGTTTGAGCATTCGTATATAAGGGACTTGAGCACTGGTACACAGTTATTCAACTTTGGTTCAGAACATACTTTGATCACTGGCTGACAAAGCACTTGAACATTAGTGCATAAGAATTTGAACATAGTTCGTAAGGGTCTTGAGCCTTGGTCAGGAGGGCATGAGAGCTGGAACATAAGATTTTGAATATTGTGCACAAAGGATGTGAACTCTGGTTTGGAAGGGACTCACTCCTGGGTGTGTAAGGGGATGAACAATGACACATAAGCATAGTGTGGACCATCCTCTGTGCACACTCAAGGATGACACTATACAAGTATGGTACTTAGGCTGTTTTCTCCTTCCTTGGACAGAGAGGGAACAGCCCATCTTAGTGTCAGTATAGGGCAGCCAGCCCTTCTCAGAATGGCTGGGATCCTTCAAGAAATTGTGCCTGGCCTCACTTCCTCAGGGTGATCGACAAGGTCCCGGGAAACTCTGAGCTTCTTCCAGCATCTCAGAGAACACCTGGGAAGAAGGAGGACGCCTATCACTTCTCATATAAAATAGTGAGAGGAAAGCCAGGAGGGGAGGGCTCGTGGGTGGGATCACTCCCGTTAAATACAAAGCAGAAAGGAGCATGGAGGTCAGAGGGAGCCCGAGGAGAAGAAGGCAACAAAGGAGAGCAAGAGAGAGGCAGGAAGGGAGGAAGTGGGCAAAGGAAACGAAGGAGGAGGAAGGGACTGTTCACATCCACAATGGGTCCCTCTCTTCCTCGGCATCTGCAGGCTACCTGCCAAATCAATTGATTACATCTGTAGGCAGAGTTGCCTTTTTATTTCACACCAATTTTCACAGGCGGTGTAAGATAAAAATGGGAGAGACGAAGTGAATGGGAAAGATGATTGAATGTTGATCTAAAAGGGAAGGTGCCAGGAAGTGGGGGCAGTGGACACTCAGATACAGGGGACAGCGGGAGACAGTAGTTTCAGTCGGGTGGCCTTCCTCCATCTCATTATTAGTTTTTTTTTTTTTGCTTGTGTGTGTGTGTGTGTGTGTGTGTGTGTGTGTGTGTGTGTGTGTGTGTGCATGATACTTGGGAGCCTGTGTCTGCTATTCCCAGGAATGTGCTAGTGGCAACCCACCTCGGCAGCCTCCATGTAGCATTGGGGTCTCTTTTTGCCCCTGATTCAGGGGTCCAAGGGCTTGGCGAGCACTGAGGATTCACTGTGTAATATTCCCTCAGCCTCTTCTCCTGGAGCCTCAGTTTCCCCACCAGGAGTGTGGTGAGAGTCACTCACTTGACCCTGGTGCTGGGACATTTGAGGCCTGTGTTGTGAATAGCCAGGACTGTGAGCAGACCTTTTTATCTCAGCAAGCAAAATGCAAGCACAACAAATGTAAAGAAATGATCATGCGGGCCGGCTTATATGGACGCCCAGGGAGTTGGTGGACTACTGCTCCCTGGAGGGGTCCTCCACCCGGCTAGCCATCTGAGCCATCTTCCGGGCTAGTGGCAACTCTAGGGCTTTGTTGGATCTAGGGCTGCCATCTAAGCAGCTTTGGGGAGGAGTCTCATTGAAAAGTTTTGCTGCAAAAACAAAACAAACAAAACAAAAACAAACAAACAAACAAAGCCAACACATTTCCAGGGTTGTGGATGCTTTTAGTTCTGCTTGGCCATTCTGTCCCCCTATTGGCTACCCCCACAACCACCTTCCAGCTATAACATTCAGTAGAAAACAGTGGTTCAACTGTAACCTCGGCTCCCCAGCAAGGCTAGCAATGGCTAACTGTGAACGTCTCACCTCCCCAATGCCCCAGTTACATTTCCTCTCACCCGGCCTTATAATTACCCTAGCCTGTAAATGGGGCAGGAGCCCTAGTTCTTACTGCAGACCCCACCTCCCTCGCAGGTGCTTCTTCGAAACAAGCCTGTGCCACTGTTGAGTCTGTCACTCCTTGTCATCAGGCCCCCATCTGAACCTCCTCACCCCAACCCAAGCCCAACACAGTCACCCTTTCCCAGCCAGATCTGCCCAGACTCCTCTTCTGACTTCAACCCTGCCGATGAACTGTCACTGCCCCAGTGAAATCCTCCTTCACTGTCCTTCTGTGACTCAACCTCCCCACTGCAAACTTACCCTCTTTTCTCCTCTTCAGACCTGATCCCACTCCCACTTCTCTCCCTCTTTGGCCCCCTCCAGCCACCTTAGACTGTCCCCTCTGAGAGAAGTCGCCAGTCCCCGAGATCCTGTGCACATCCAGGTTCTTTTTCCTCTGGCAGATGTCCCCCAAATCAAAAAGAATTTTAGACTCCTGTGCTCCTGACTCCTCTAGCCACTGAAAGGAATCCTAGCAGCTTACCCATCCTTTAGGTGTTTTTTCTACTCTCGCCCCCCCTGAGAAACCATGAGTACCTTTGGTTGGTAGATCGGACCCATGTAGACACCCTCCACACTCAAGATCAGGACCACCATCTTGTCAGAGTGATTGACACTCCCTGACTGACCCTACCTGGAACTACCAGGTCACCTCTGTGATTTCTAAAAAAAGGGCTTATAAGGTCGCTTGCTTCCTGGCAGGTATGGAAAAAGCAGCCCTTAAAGCTGTCAATTATGAACAAAAATCAGAGTGATCACTCACGGACCAAAAGAAAATACATCTCTATTTCCCTCTTGCCTTTAAGAGGCCATGACCAATACGCCAAGCTGTCACTGACTCAGACGAGCAGTGATTGTACTTACACCTGGTCTTTATCTTACAACTGGCCACAGATATGAGATTAAAGCTCCAAAGCTTGACGATGGACCTCAGAACCCTCAATAGGATGTTAAAACAGCCTTCAAGGCCTTTAAACAGAGGAACAAAGGAGCCAAAGTTTAAAAGGACCAGGCCAAGCGACAGATGCAGAAAGCAGCCTTTTCACAGGGTTCTAGTCCAAGGGGATGGGAAATGGGTCAGCATGAGGTCTGCTTCAAATGAGGCCAGCAAGACCATTGACCCAGGCCGCCTCCATGCCTCTGTCCCATTTGTGGGTAAGAAGGACACTGCCAGTCAGATTGTATCCAGTAAGGGACATGTTCCCATTCTATCGCCCCGGCAGGGCCCAGATACTTGACTCAGGCTTGGCTGGGCATTTGAGTTTAGCCAGAGAAGACTGCAGAGCCCCGAGGTCCACTGGCCACCTGTCCCTCATTTCTAGCTGTAGAACCAGTTTGTTATGCTATGAACCTGCTGGCAAGTCTGTTTCCTTCTTATTGGATATGGGGGCTACTTATTCAGTCTTGGCAGAATATTCAGGACTCCTCCTGGGGTTCTCTTTTTCTCTTTGAAAAGGGGGGACAGGATACCCTCACACCCAAAACGTATGTCTAGTGTTATGTAATCTGTTTGGCTACCCTTTTACATGCTCATTTCTGGTGGTCCCACATTGCCTGACGCCTCTTCTGGGCAGATAGAATCCTCCCAAATTCTGTGGCCTAGTGACTTCACCCCATACAGCTCTGCCTCCTTTGTCTTTCTCTACCTTTCAGATGTTGTCCCCATCCTTCTCCAGTCACTAACCCCCACTGGTCTACACTCTATCCTTGCAGTTTGCAAGCCTAACTCCTTGTCCCAAGACCTCAGACTCATGGCTCAGCTTGTCATTCCCAAGCATCCTGCTGCTTCCAACTGTAACACCTCCCTTTCTCATCTTCTGCCCTTGACCTACTTTTCTGTCCTTCTTTACCCTTAGACCCTGCCTGCCAAGACCTCTTCTCTTCCACCTTGACTGGTCCCCACTGTTACATCACTTCTCAGCTTACCTGCATAGTCCTGCCTCCAACTATTTGGACAAACTTTTTCCTGTCAAACCAACCAGACAAGGTAAGTCAAGGTTGGCCTCCATGCCTTAAAGAATTTGGAGTTGCTGCATTCCTGGCCACTGAGGTCCCAAATCTTGTACTCCACCAGTCAACCCCTGTTTCCCCTCTCTCCATTGTTTGATGTGGCCATAGCACACTCCTTCAAAATGTGAATTCTTCCAACAGCTCATCTGTTACACACCACCCAGTTCATTAAGTTTCTCCTCGGCTGTCTCCCTCTCCAAAGCACAAACAGCGACCTCCAAAGTCACCTGTCTGAGTCTCTTTGTCTCCTCACTTGCAGACTGTTTCCTCACATTGTAAAGATCCCATCAAGACCCTTTCACTCCGCAAACAGAAGAGGACCTCCTCTCCTTCCTGGGACTCCAAGATTCCTTCCAGATCTGGATCCCCAGTTTCTGGATTCTTACCCAACTCCTCTACCTGATCTCCAGAGAAGCCCTCTCTGAACCTTTGGACCCCTTCCAACCCACCCAGCTCTCATTGGCCAAGCTCAAGGGAGCCTTTTGGCTGCCCAGCCCCAGCTCCCCCAAATCCCTCAACGCCTTTCCCTCTCCTTGTCCTTTCCACTCCAGACCTCACCCTGGACTACTTCGCCAACTGCACAGCAACTCTCCCTTTGAGACGATAAACCTGCCACAAGAACTGGACATGGTAAGTCAGTGTTGGTCCCCAAGCCTTGAAGACTTTGGATCATCTGTGCTTCTGCTCCCCAAAGGCTCTAACCTTATGCTCTCCCAGCCGATCACTATTTTCTCCCTCTACAATCCGCACAGACTCATCAGCCCCCATTGTCTTCTCTCCTACCACCCCCATACTGCATTTTTCATGGTATTCTTCTGTAACCCTTGTCGGGGTTTGAATGAGAATACTGCCCCAAATAGGCTCAGAAATGTAAATACTTCATCTCCAGTTGGTGGAACTGCTTGGGAAGATCAAGAGGTGTGGTCTTATTGGAGGAGGTCTGTCACTGAGGGTGGGATTTGAAGTTTCAAAAGACTCACACCATCTCCAATGTGCCTCCACACCCCTCCCACTCTCTGCCTCCTAATTACAGATCAAAATGTGAACTCTCAGCTACCGCCTCAGTGTTATGTCTGCCCGCCTTCTGCCATGCTCCCCATCGTGATGGTCACGGACTCTGACCTTCTGAAACTGTAAACCCCAATGAAACACTTCCTTCTGTAAGTTGCCTTGGTCATGGTGTTCTGTCGTAGCAGTAGAAAAGTAGCTGAGCCACCCCCTTCACTGGCAACCCCCTTTCCCACCACCAGAAGGTGCAAAAGGTCACTCAGCTCAGCTCGCCCAGCGCACCCCTGCCCCAGCCCCCACCTCCCTGCAGTCTGATAATGGCACTACCTCTGTTTCTAAGTCACCCAGGCCCCACACACTTCCCTTAGCGTGAAACTGACTGTAGCACGAATCTTAAAGGTCTTATTAATAAAAACAAACCCGGAGCCAGGATTTGGGGTGAACGCTGAAAGATCAGAGAAACAGAACAAGCCACAGCCAACCTCACCTCGCCAATTCCTTAGCTGATCCTGTTTCCTCAAACTGGGAGCCTCTGAGTCCTCATCCAGAATGAATGTCAGCTGAACTGCTGCTAAAAGCCTAAAAGCTTAACCAGGCTCTAGTTCCTGGTTCTCATGCCTTATATACCTTTCTGCCATCACTTCCTGGGATTAAAGGCGTGTGTCACCATGCCTGGCTGTTTCCAGTGTGGCTTTGAACTCACAGAGATCCAGACAGATCTCTGCCTCCCAAGTGATAGGATTAAAGGCGTGTGTGCAACCATTTTCTGGCCTCTATATCTAGTTCTGTTCTCTGACTCCAGATGTTTATTAGGGTGCACAATATATTGGGGAACACAATAGCACCATAATTGACCTTTCCTATTCCCTACCACGTTGGAGCCACAGGTAAGGGGAAGCAGGTGAACACCCTCCTAAAACAACAAAACTCAAGCTCTCCCTCGACCTGACACTCTTGTGCCTCCTCCGCTTTCCCTTGCTACCTCCACTTCCAGGAAACTCTCTCCAGGAAACTTCTGAACCTCAGCCCATTTGGACTCATGAACAGGTGACCAACTTCCCTGAGCCTCACACTCGAGCCACACCAGAAGAGCCACACCCTCGTGAGTCCTCTGTTTCATCCCTGCCCTGTTCAAATAGCTGCATACTCTCAAAGCCTTGCTCACCACCTCATGTGTGATCCAGCTCTTCCTTTCCCTCCGACTGTTGGGTCAGCCTGTCCACCTAAAACCAGCACTCCCTGGAAATCCCAGCCCCTCTATCTACCTGGACAGACTTACCCATGAAACTTTACCTGAGCGACCAACCAAGCCCTTCCCTGCCCTTGACCTATTAATGACCTCCAGGGGTGTCTCAGCCTCTTCCACTCACCCCTTGCTCTTCCCACATTTTTTTCTGAGATTTTATTTTTATTTCATTTTATGTGTATGCGTGTTTGCTTGAATGTATGTCTATGCCCCACATATATTCAGTGCCCACAGAGGCCAGGAGAATGCATTGAATTCCCTTAGACTGGGGTTACAGATGAGTGTGAGCCACCATGTGGGTGCTGGAACTCAAACCTGGGTCCTCTGAAAGAGCAGCCAGCGCTCTTCCACCACTGAGGGCTTCTCCAGCCCCTCTTCCCACAACCTTGACTTAGGAGCCATTGCTTCTCTTCACCTCCTCAGCTCAATGTGCATGTTTCTGACAATCACTCACTCATCTCTGTGATATAGTCTGATAACCAATGCTTTTTTGAATCTACCCAAAACCCCTTATAGGGACCACTTTGTACTCAGTCTCTCCTCACCTCCCAGGCCCATCTCAGCATATCCTGTAAGCTCAAAGCCTTAGCCCATGCCACCTTTGTGAGCAACTTCTCTGTCTGTCTCTGCACCTACATCCTTCATCTATCACTCTCTGCCAATCGCCACTAATCCATTCACTCAAACAATGAAAACGAACCTCTTACTACTGACAGCAGCAAATACTGTCACACCTCCCCAGCCACTCCCTGTGTGCCTTGTCCCTTCCTCTCCCTCAGGCACCTGCTGTATCCTTACCCTACTTGAACCTGATAACTTAACCCCTCATCTGTGGACCCTGCCTATATCAAGGTTAAACCTGAAGGACACATGGACCCCTACATTTTGTTCCACTACCGGTCCCTCACTAGGTCTTCTCTGGCTGGAGAATATTCAGTCTGAAAAATGAAGTCTCCATCCAAGATACCTGGGACAACACCCCAAACATTTTCTCACATCTCTCCTTCTCATCTTCTGTCTCAACTCCTTGAAGGTTTTCTTCCTTTGTGGAAAACCAGCTTATGTCTGTCTCCTGTTCAGCTGATTCAGTGTCTGCACCCTTGTCCTCTAATACTCGGGCATCAATCTCCTTTTCAAGAACAAAAGGTAAATGTTCTCCCCTTTGCAAACACACCCCCACTGAGGCCCTGGATATCTCTTTTGCCATCTGTACAGGCATAGCTGGCATCCTTTTCAATCCTCAGTCTCCAACAATTTCCCAAGGCTTTCTGATACCCAGAGTGAAATGGCTGCCATTAGCACAACCCTCCATAACCACATAGACTCACCTGCAGGCGCCATTCTCCAAAGGCAGTGCTCTGGACATCCTTGAAAAACAGGGCACCCGTCTCTTCATCCAGAAAGAGCGCTGCTTCTATGTAAACCAGTTCAGAGTAGTCTGAGCAACAGTAAGGGGATTCCAAGACTAAGCATCCACATTCTGTTGACATTGTGGCTCTTGGGGACAATTGTCCAACACAGGACACCGGCTGGCTCCCTTCTTGATACCTCTTCTCTTTTTTTCTCCCACTAATGAGACTTTTGACTTTATTTAACTGCCTGGACTTTTTTTTTTTTTTATTCCAGAGACGGATGTGCTTTTCCCATGACACTTCCAGAAGACAACTCAACAGCATCCTCCTCCAAAATTTCCAGTACCAAAGACTGCCCCATGATGATGTCCCAATTCAGCCAGCACAATCCTATGAAAACGACGTCCACCCGGCTAACAGCTCTCTGGAAACTACACCAAAGTCTCACCCATGGCGCTCCCATCTGTTTCTCATTTTTACAAAACACAAAGCAAGAATATTAGCTTAATTATTCAGTTCTGTCCCCCATTGACTGCCTTAGCAATACCCTGACCCCCACAACCACCTGCCAGCTAATATTTTCTGTAGTGAACAGTGGTCCAACCACAAGCTCAGCTTCCCTAGCAACCCTAATAATGGCTGACTACAAACTTCTTACCTCCCCGATGCCCCACTTACATTTTCTCTCACCCAGCCCTATAATTACCCCAGCTATAAGAGGTACGGGGAGCCCTAGTTCTTGTAGGAGACACCCCCTTCCAGGTGCTTCCCCCACCCGAGGCTGTGCTGATGTTGTATCTATCATCCCTTGTCTTGTCCTTCTAATTCCAAATCTGACAGAACAGAGGTCACGCTAGGGGAGTGCCCCTCCCAGCTTCCCATCCACCTCCCTGAAGCCAGCAGCAGCTCAGGGGACAGGTGGGGCATTTCCCTCCCTGATGATGTAGTTACAGTCACCATGGGAGCAAGGGTGGGATGCCACCTGGTGAGCCATTCCAGTAGGGAAGGTGTTTCCCAGGCTAGGTCTTTTGGGTGGGTCTCTCTACCATAGGGGTCTCTGCTGCAGAAAGCCTGAGTCAGCTGCCACCACTGCGCCATAGCTCTCTCCTCGGCTGGCCTGGCACATCAGCGTGGCAGGCAGTGCCCTGAGGAGGTATAGATGACTGGAGGAGCTGCCCCTGAAGTCTTTCCATGGGTGACACCTTCTCTGGACAGGAAGCTGTGCATCCCTGGGTGTTCTTCAGAATCACAGAAATACAGATGACAAAAATAAAGTCATGCGACGAACGTCCCAGGACACATGGCTCATTAAGGACAGGAGAAGCTGGGGTTTGGGTATTCCTTTCAACCAGTGCCCAGGTATTTTCTCATCCATGCATGCATGCATTCATGCATACATACTACATGCACAGTATGTGTGTTCGTGTATGCTTATGGTTTGTGTACTGTGCATGCATGTGTGCATGCTACACATATTTGTAAGTGTGCACATATGTGTGTGCTTACCTGTATGTCTGTATGCCCATTCACACATGTATGTGCATTGTATATTTGTGTGCATGCATGCACCCATGTGTTTGCCTGTATGTGTATATGCATGTATCCTTATGTGCACATGTTCATGTGTGTATTTGCTTATGTGTTATGCTTATGCCTGCATGTCTATGCATGTACTTATTTCTATTCACATGTATGCATGTGTATGGAGGGGGCAGGGCAGGAGCTGTGCACAGTATTTCTTGCAGGGAAGCAAGCCCCATGGTGAGGCCTGCGTTTGTTTCCAGGCTGAGGTGTGAGATGGACTCCTAGGACAGGAGGTGGAAATGACAAGCACATTTGCCTCATAACCCCAGAGCATGCCCTGCCTGGGGAGAAGCATGTCAGGAGCTGTGTGAAACAGCAGATGAAGTTGTCGTCCACATTCCCTCCTTATGGCTCCCTGGGAGAGCCCCCCACATAGGGCCTGCCACTCAGCCCACCAGGCTTGGCAGCTCTCAGGCCCCGTTCTGTCCTCCGAGGGCACAGGGGAGGCCATAAGCTGTCTGTTTTATCCCTGAGTCACCCCACCACGTGCATGGTGCCTCCCTCTGAGTCCTGCCTATAAAAGGTGTCCAGGGAGATCTGTAGGAGGAAGCCACATGACAGCCAGGAGTGGACTGGGAGCTCATATGCACTGCAGCTCCCAGGCATCTCCTCCATGTGACATTGCATTAGTTCTTGTGCTCCTTCAAAGTCCCCAAGACTGTGTTTACCTTTGGGGTGAGGAAGGGACTGGGGTGACTCTCCTTTCATCTAGCATCTTTGATCAACAAAAAGACAACCAGATATAGATGAAGAAGGAGGTAGAGACACTCATTCTACTTCTGGGGGTTGGCACATGCTTGCTGGATGTGGCACATGCTGTGGGTGGTCTTTTCTCCTTCCTTGGGTACCCAGCCTTGGTGCTCAGTTCACACATGTGAAAGATTCTCAATCCAACAAGTCAGGAGCTGGAGGTGCTTTGGTCCTGAGGAAAGTTCATCCCTTGAGGTCATCAATTGCCTTAGGTGACTCCCAGCCAAAGAGATCAGGGCTGGTGAGAGAGGACCCCCATTTTCCATCCAGCTCTCCAGCTTCTCAGAGGACCACGTTTCCAGGCTCACTAAGACAACCCTGACGGCCTCCCCTCCATCCTTTCCTCCCTGCCCACCTTTATATGGAGTTTCCAAATAAACTGGAACTGCTGTCCCTTGCTAAGTTAACCCACCTTCTGTTGCTGTGATAAAACACTGACCAAAACAACTCGAGGAGGCAAGGGCTTATTTTAGCTCACAGCTTACTTCCACCAGGAACTGAAGTACAGCCATGGAGAAGCACCACTGACCGGCTTGTTCCTCGTGGCCTGCTCAGCCTCCTTTCTTATACAACTCAGGGCCACCTGCCACCCCCCTCCCCCGTGGACTGAGCCTTCCCACATCAGTCATTAACCAAGAAAAGAAGAAGCCCTACAGAATTAGCCACAGGCAATCTGATGGAGGAGGCATCTTCTCAATTAAGGTTTCCTCTTCCCAGACGACTCTAGCTTGTGTCAAGTTGATACAAAACCAACCAGGACACCAGCCAGGGTCCTGTTTTAGGAAAATCCCAGGGAAGACGGGCGGCTCCCTGTGAAGAGGAAGCAGTGTGTCCTGAGGCCCAGGAGCCCTAGTTCCCCAGACTACTCCCTGCACCTAGACCTGCAAAACAAGGTAGTGGGCCACAGTGCCACAAGTCTACTTCCTGTATATTAAAACAATCAAATTCATCCGGGGTCACCACAGGAAAAAGACGCGGGCTGCACACCGGATATCCGGATTACAAGATTAAAGATCAATACAGCACTGTTACAGAAGCAAGTGTTACACTGGACGGCAAATCTAAAATAAAGTTGGCGGTGGGGCATCAAAAGAAGGGTGTTGTCAGTGGGGTGAGGTGGGAAGAGCCTGGTCCAGTCAGCTCCTGCGTGTGTGGGTGCCACATTCCCAACATGGAGCTTTTCCAGTCTGATGACAGGGCATCCGTCTGGCATCTGTTCCAGGTCTGCCACGTGGTAGGCGTCAGGTTTATAGGAGCCTTTCTTTCTTCCACAGCTGGCTGTGATTTTCTAGACAGGACTGGAGCCTGGAGGCTGTGGGTAGCTTAAGAATATGGTATCTGGGGCCGGGGAGACAGCTCAGTGGGTGAAGTGTTTGCTGGACAAGCACAAGGACCCAAGTTCGGATCCCCAGCATCCACGTAAAAGCCGGGCGTGGCGGTGAGCGTTTGTCGTCCCAATGCTGTCACTGTCACATGCCGACGGGAACCTTGGGCATGCTGCCTAGACAGTCTAGGTAAAATGCTGAGCTGCAGGTTCAGGGAGAGACTGTCTAAAGAAATAAAGTGGAGAGTGATATAGAAAGACATCCAATATTTATCTCTGGTCTTTGTATACACACACACACACACACACACACACATGCATGTAACAGAGAGAGGGGGAGGGAAGAGAGAGAGAGAAGAGAGAGGAGAGAGAGAGAGAGAGAGAGAGAGAGAGAGAGAGAGAGAGAGAGAAGAGAGAAAGAGGAGAGCAACTTGGGCTTTGTTTCTCAGGAACCACCCACCTAGCATTTTGAGACAGGGTCTATCACTGATCAGGGATTTGCCAAGTAGGCAAGGCTGGCCAGTGAGCCCGAGAGATTTACTTGTCTCTGTCTTCCCCTAGCTGGGATTATAAGTGTGGATACTTCTCTGGGGGAATCCAGACTCTGGCCCACCTCTGATCAAGGCTGATCCTGAGTACCTGCTAAGCCAGTTCTGGCAGAGCATTCCCATGGAGCATAGGCTGTGGATCAAAACAGACCTAGCCCGCACCGGGGTTGGAGTCTGGGTCCCCCAGTTGTCTCCTTCCTATGAGCTGGCTTTCTGACCTTACCCCCATGGGGAGGAAAGAAAGTGGCTAATCAGATCTCTATAGCTCAGATCAGCTGTGTGTGATAGGATCCCACGGGAGAGCAGCTGTCCCCACCCAGAGCCCAGCACTCTACTCCACCTCATCTCTCCTCTCCTTCCCTCCTCTCCTCTGTATTCACTCCCTCCACGGAGGCCGAGCAGGGAGGTCTAATACTGCCTGGTTAATGGCTTATAGATCGTTGGTGAGTCGGGCCTGATGGAAGTGTCTGTTAAGGTTGGCATCGGGAGCCGGAGTCAAATGGCCCGAGACAGATTCATGGCTGTCTTCCAGGCCACACCAGGAAAAATGCACCCACACAGCATGCTCAGCTCTTAGAATGTGAAACCTGGTGCGAGGGAGGGAGCCTTCAAGGGGAAGCCCTTGTTCTGGATGGTGGATTGGAGCTCCCAGACCCCACCCTGAGTGTAGGAACCCACAGGTCAGGGTGGAATTGCCTGTTCACAAGCTAAGCTGTAAGTAGAAGACAGAAACATGCCTTGGAAGACTTGACTAATGAGCACTAATTTGTAAAGAGACCAGGGTGACCTAGTAATGGATTCCGAATTATGGGATTTTGAAACCCAATTTTGCCACATCCAAATAGATTGGCTTCAGTAGAAGTGTCCAAGAGAAAGTACTGGGCGGGGGTTGGTGGTGGTGATGTTTTTGTCCTGAAGGAATTCATAATATACCAGGGAGATGATTGACATAAAATTGTATTGCTTGACACTTAACGAAATTAAATTACCAAAATGGTGAACCAAAGGCTCCTGGGAACCTATTAGAATGAACAGATGTAGTACACATAACTGCCCATCTGTATACTTGCACTCACATTGGCACCACGGAGGGCTGGCAGTGTTGACTATGTTACTAGTCCATGCTTAGGCATCCCCCCTTTTCTCTGGATTCCACCCCTTCTGGTACATGGCTCAAGCTTCCAATAGCTAAGTTTCTGGCCCTCCAGAAGGAACATCTATTTGTTCTTCTGTAGAGAAGGACTAGGGGCTGGGGTGAGGGCTCTTGGTCCAAGATGTTTGGGATCCCGGGGCTGAAATTCACTTCTCTGCTCTTAGAAGTCAAGGACTTCCAGCTTAGAGACAAGTGCTGAGAGCCCAGGGGGAGTTTCCTGGTTGGGGTACTCCATCTCCTGGGCTCTTTAACAATCTTCCACTTTGGAGCTAGAGGGATATCTCAGTGGTTAAGAGCACTTGCTTCTTTTGCAGAGGACCTGAGTTCAATTCCCAGCGCCCACATGAAACTCACAACTGTTGATAACTCCAGTTTCAGGAAATCCGATGCCCGCTTTTGACCTCCGTGGATACCAGGCATGCACATAATCTACATATATGCATGCAAGAAAGGCATTAATAAACATATAAATAAATAAATAAAATTTTAAAAAATCTTCTATGTTTCACCTCTAAGAGGGAATTTCAGCCTTTCCATTTCCTTGGCTGGCTAGCAAATTGTAAATCTAGGTCTGAGCGGAAAATATCGTGACATCAAGGTTATGTGGTCTGGCGTTGACAAGATGGATGGCTTCAGTAACCAGCCTTCCCTGCGTCTCCCAGCTCTCTCTCCACCTCTCTTTCTTTTCATCTTTTTTTTTTTAAAGAAAACATTTTTAGAGACTTTAATAACCGTGGAAGGATGCTGTAAGGTGGGTAAGGAAATCGATCATTTTTATTCGGTTGTTCACGATAAAATGTAAGTTTGGGCGATAAATCTTCTTACCTTGAGGGGAGAGAACAGCGTGGCTGACCATTAATATGATTCCTTTTTGGAAATTTCAATGAATGAAT